CTCTCTGTATTATTTTGATGTTGTGTAAAATTTTGAGAATTGTTGGACTAAGAGAGATAGGGTAGATAGGGTAAATAATGTACTTAAGTTTTCTACTGATAGATGTTTAAATTATGATAAATTGATCAGTTGCTGGAAAATTATGATTTTTTGCTGCGATGCTTGTTTTATGTGGTGTTTCATGTTGTAAAAAGATTGAAATTCTTGGAGTACGAATTGATTCAGTTTTAATAAAAATTCGATAAATTACAGCAACTTGTATGAATTCTTAAAATTTGTGTGTTTAATGTTAATTTCTGGAATTTTTATATGTTGGTCCTTAACTGCTGAACTTACTCCAATAAAAATATTATGTGCTAATTCGTTCGTTAGGTCATGCTTTGAATTTTATGCTCGTTTTTGCAGATATCGTATTTGAATTTTATAAAATTGTGTATAATGAGTTTGGGGCTGAAACTTGGTGGTTTTACTAAGTTCAATGAAAAGGATTTTATGTTAATGTTTCTGAACCTAACTCATTCAAAAACTTGATCAACCTAATTATGTGATATATCGTCTTCTATTTTTTTTTTTCAAAAATGAGGTTCTTGTGTAAAAATCTTTTAAACCGGATTTTTCTTGTTGAGGTTGTGACTTGTTTAAACTATCTTTTATGTAATATTTGTGTGAAACCCCATATTTGGTTGTTCGAGTCTAAGTCCTAGAATTCCAACATCCACAGGACTTCACGAACCACTTAGTTGAATCAAGTTCGACTAAGTCAAATTTATGATTTTCTACTTAGGTTTAGATAAAGCGTTGACTTTAGTATCTGGACTTAATGTAGGTATCTAGAGGTGTTGACCTCGCCCTTCTTTAGAGATTCGTGATTGTGAACTGTCGCTGCAAACAGGTGGGTACATTTGTGATGTATTCCATAATTATTGCACCCTTTATTCGTATAATGCTTTATTTGAAAATTGTTGTATGCGTGAGAACCCTAGTCTAGGTGTCTTGTACAATAGTGCCGTTGATGAATGGGAAAACAGTGGGAGGTCACCTGCCCGTTGTATCCGGGAGAAGACGCCCCAAGCTGTTGTACCCGGAAAGGGAAGAACATCTCCACTGTCTCCTGGAAAGGATCCTACGAACTGTTGTACCCAGGGGTGGGAAGGTTTCCAGTTACTTCCATGTCGTTGTATCCGGAAGGTTGTTGTATGTACATAGGAGGTTTGCGATAGGGCTGAGTAGGGAGTTTAGAACTTGGATTCTATGCATACTGTGAAAATGTTTTAAAATGCTTTATACTGGATAATTATGCAATATTGGTGAGCTTGTTGGTTATGCTCACCCCCATTGTTGTTTTCTGTCGTTGTCTTCTCTTCCTTCTTTAAGTTGAGATGAGCTTGAGGCGGTGGCGTAGAGACGAGCGAGGTGTGGTCAATGGGTCGATTGTGACCATGATATATATTTCTGCTTATTTATGACCTTGTTAAATTGTTGTTTCATGACTTGGTTTTATTTTCCTGTTTTGATTTTGATAATTAAGTTATGACGGATTGAAACCTTTTGGGATTATGCTTTACTTATGGTTATTTTGGGAACTTAATAAAAGCATGGAATTATTGTTTATAACTGTTAGCTATGCATGTATAGATACTTCTTTATTGTTTTATGCTTGGGTTATGTGTTTGTATTTTTGTTTAATTTATTCTTAGTAGTTAAGTAGCGCCAACTGAGTCTTACATTTTGAATTGATATTGACAAAAAAAAAAATACTAAGATTTTTGTAAATTTATTCGGTAAATTCTAAAATAAAATGGGGCGTTGCATTTATCTTTTAGCATTTAATGTTTAAGTCAATTTATGGCCAAACCCACCTCATAACACAGTTGCACACAAAGTCCTGAGGTATGTAAAGGCAACAACTTGACAAGGTATTCTCATTCCTAGAGTGGGCATCCTGTCCCAGAAAAAGCATCACATGTTTTACTAACTTTTTAGGTAAATTACTTATTTCACGGAAATCTAAAAAGCAAAACACAGTTAGCAAATCATCTGCTGTGGCTGAGTATAGAGCTCTAGCTTCAACAACATGTGAAGCTCAATGGATTGTGTATTTCCTTGTTGATTTAAAGATTTCTCACACTCAACATGTTTCCATGTTTTCAGATAGTAAATCTGCCATTTGAATTGATCATAACCCAGTGCATCATGAAAGAACAAAGCACATCGAGATAGATTGCCACATCATTCGAGAAAAAGTGCATAGAGGCATCATTCACCTTCAACATATCCCTTCCAATGACCAGATAACAGATATTCTAACAAAAGCACTCTCTCTTCCAGCTTTTCAGAGACTGTTGGGCAAGTTGAACATGTATAACATACATGCTCAACTTGAGGGGGGGAATTAGTCATATAAGGGCATATTTGTATTTTTATATACATTGTAGTTGTATGTCAAAATCGTGCATTACATGTTTAACACTTTATTTACAAATGAGTGGAGTATAAATAGTCGTGCAATTAAGGTTATTAGGTAAAGTTGTTCATTCATCTCCTTCACACAGAAATGCAATCTTTCTTCTTTCTTTCTCTCGACTGTTCTTCTTCCACATTTACATTATCAATTCTATACATAATAAGTTTGTTAGAGAGATAAGTTCGGCTAGATAAATAAATAATTAATTAATATATTATATTAATTATATCATAAAAAAATCGGTTAGACAGTGTAGATAAAAATTAAAATATAATTAGTTTGTTAGGAATAGATTATATAAAAATCAAGATAAAATAAAATTTACCCAAAAAATATGTGTAAGATCTTTTTCTTTAAATGTTTGAATTTAAAAATTTAATACCCAATTTAGATTATAAGAAAAAATTAAATAATAAACGTTATTAATATATTAAATATGTAACTTTAAATTTTATATAAAGTAAAATGTATGGCAGTTTAAATTTATTTTTAGATTTTTTCTAAAATAATTAATATTTTAGTAATTATATCCCTAAGAATATTCGTATAATTATTTAAAGAAAAAATTATATAAATTATATCTTAAAATACCTAATTAGATAACTTGGATAAAATAATATTATATTAATACTTATTAGGAATATATTTATATGAAAGTTAAGATAAAACAGAATGTACCCAAAAACTCTTCTTGTAACTTTTCCTTTTTTTTCCGGAATGATAGATATGATATATAAAAAGGCACAAAAGTGTAATAGTACAACCACCAGCTGAATACAGATCCAACCACCAGCTGAATAAAATTGGGAGGACAGGTCATAAGACTGCCTAGAATCGACCCTAACAGAAAATATCCTAACACAAAAACACGACATTAAACGACATTGAAACAACCCCAACAGGGTAATGCTCGAGTGCAAGATCCCAACAGGTAATAAGGTCACACTCAAGCGAACCGGGGCCAACGGCTCAAACCTAAAACACATCAACAACGACAACGCACAAACAAGCAAAAACACAACTAATATGACAACACACCTATAAGAACAACAAAACAACTGAAGCAAAAAAAACGGAGCTCTTCCTCGATGAACGACTTAGCCCAACCAGTAGTGAAACGATCGACACAAGAAGGATTCTAGGTCTAGAAGCCGCTACCGAAACTGCAGAAGGCCTATACAATAGAAACAAACTGAGCCCCAAATCCCTCCAAAGAATCGACCCGTCTTTAAGCGAGAGTGCCACAATCAACCCCCACACTGGCCCCACCCGAGCTCATCTAACACCACTAGACGAGACGGATAGCACCAATCCCCGGCCGCCTATCACCACTAGCCGATCAGGGAGGGTGACGAAGATCGAGCCCTCAACCCCAATCACCGTAACTTGAGACGCCACAGCCATCGGGGTCCTGCCCCTCCCGAAAATGCACGCTCCTCCCGACACCACCACAGCATGCCGACAACCAGGGGTCGGAGCCCCACCGGATAGGCGGAGCCCCGCTGCAAACAGCCAATCCAACCAGAGCAGACGAGGGCGAGAGAAAAGGGACTGACCGCCTCCAGCCGGAAATTCGTCTGATTCGGAAGGGAGAACTCCAGGCTTAGGTTCTTCGCCTGCCGGAAGAGGCGCAGCCACCGATGGAAGCCCCATCTGCTACCAGGAACTGAAACCCTAGTCGCCTCCATCCGCAGTGAGCCAGAGGTGCATAATATCAGGGGGAGGGGAGGGCGGTCTAGACGACCCCTAGCTGAGTTTACGCTGACGACGGGGAAGGCAAATCGGCCGAATTGGGAGAGAAGCTCGAGCGCAGCTGTTTGAGATTGACGATCGCGAGAGAAAAGGATTGAAAACTTTCTCATATACTGTAACCTTTCCTTTAAATGTTTGAATTTATTTTTTTTATAAAAAAGCATCCAAAAATTCTGAATAAAAATCATGGGCGGGATTCTCCCAATTTTTTTTTTTTTTAAAAAAAAATCCTTTATTGGTAAAAACAAAAAATGAGCGGGAAATTACATATTATTTTTGTATTTTTTTTCTTAACTGTATTATATAGTAATAAATAGATTATTACATTATAGTGTTGTATACAAGGATTGTTGAACTGAGACATTACATATATAACTCATAGAGGAATTATAAATGATAAAATGAATATTCAAATATCTATATATAATATTTTATAAATTAACTAAATAGTTAAACTTTTTTAATATTTTTTTGAAAATAGATCTTGAACCAATGAACACACATATTTATATATAGAATTGCAAACTTATAAAATAACTATAAATGGTAAGAAAAACTGAGAGAAGTGGGCCGCACATAGAAATGTAGCATGATATTACTTATTGAGAGTATAATACATGTATAGTATAGACACACATTGAAATACAAAAGCAGAATCATTCATAAAAAAATGGGAGACAATTGTGAAGCTAATTTAATGATGAGTAAACCAATTAAGACGCAATATAATTATTATATATGACTCAACATCAATTGTCCATCTCCATTGCTGCTGAATTGATCATCATGTTATCTGAGACAGAAGGTGGGCTACCATAGGGCGAGGTTTGCAAGAAGCCATCAAGGGCTTGGCCTTGGGCATTGACAACCCAATACCTTCATCCATATCCACCAGCTCCTTCCCTACCCTTTCCCAATCGAAGCACTGAATGAGAGCCCCTAGAGCAGAGCCGACGACACGCACGGCCAGGTTCTCCCCTGGGCAGCCCCTCCTCCCGGAGCCAAACGGCATGAACCTGAACCCATCTCGGTAGCCGTCCACTCCCTCGAACCTCTCAGGCCTGAACTCTCTGGGCTTGTCCCAGTTGTTGGGGTCGTTATGTATGGCCCACACATTGACAAGAAGCATGGTGCCTGCAGGGACATGGTAGCCCCCAACCGCGCATGGCTGCGAGGACTGGTGAGGGATCAAAAGTGGGCCTGCAGGGTACATGCGTAGTGTTTCGTTGACAATGCAGCGTAGGTAAGGGAGGTTACTCATGTCTGCCTCATCAATTAACCGCTCATTCCCAATTTGGGCGTCGATTTCAGCTTGGGCCTTCTTGAGGGCGTGCGGGTGGTTGAGGAGGAGGGACAGTGCCCACTCCAGTGTCCCGGCTGATGTGTCTGTACCGGCTATTAACAGATTCTGCCACACACATATATTACAAATCAAAACTCACCAAACAACATATACAATAAATGCCATATGAATATGTGTGTGTGTGTGTGTGTGTTTATAGGACAGAGCAAGCATTAACTTTAGTACATACTTCAAAAAATTGAATCAAATAAAAATATATACATGGCGACATTTTTATCATTTGTTATGTAATTAATAAATGCTATTTTAATGAAAACAAGTTTATATAATATAGACCAAAAATAAAAAACATAAAACAAGTTTTATTACTGTAAATATATTTTTACTTTTAAAAGTTAATAAATTTTATTTGTATTTTATTTTTCAAATATGATATATTATGATAATCATTTTTTACCGATTTTTAATTTGGCATCTGTATTACAACAAGATATAGGGTCCCTCGAGAAGGACTACACTGTTGGACCAACTGAATTTGATGGTACTCAAATGAGATCAGAATGCAACTTAGTCAATGTGCACAGATAGTATTAGTTAGCATTCTTGTATGCTTAGGGACCTCAAAATATGTAATATCGGTTTGTTCTTTTGATATTCTGTTGTGAGAATGTAACATTCACCACCACATCTATCACTGTATAATAGAGAGAAGAAAAAATACAAAAATAGTATGTAAGTTTCCTGCTCATTTTTTTGTTTTTTACCAATAATTTTTATTTTTATTTTTTTAATTTTTTGGAAAATACCGCCCATGATTCTTATTCAACTTTTATTAATTTTTGTGAAAAAANNNAAAAAAAAAAAAAAAAACTAAATTCAAACATTTAAATCAAAGATTACAAACAGATTTTTTGGTTACATTTCATTTTATCTTAACTTCCAGATAATCACATTCCTAACAAACTAATTAGTATAATATTTTTTTATCCACATTTATATAATCGGATTTCTTAAATATAATTAATATAATATTTTATCTAATTAATCATTTGTATAACTTGATTTTCTCATTAACAAACTTGCCAAATTTTTTTGAAATTAAAAAATTTGGATGAGTTTGATTTATAAAAAAATAAAAAATAGTTTTACTTTAAAGTCTGGATTTCTTCTATTATTTTTTGTATATTAACAATCATATATTGGATAATTGATTTACAAAAAATCAAAACCGTAATGTTTAATAATATTCTTCAAATAAGAAAAATATTGTATAAAGAGAAGTGTTTAACAATATATATTTCATTGTTTCTATTTATTTTATTTCCATAATAGACGAGATGTGAAAAATGTAAAGAATTGTATTTAAAATAAAGTCTAAAAAAAGAGTTTAAAACATGAACTCCTTCATGCATAACACGGGATATACACTAGTATGAATGAAATTTGTTTGAGTCAAACTGCATTTGGTTTATTTAATAGGTTGTATCCTTAGTTTGTAGCTCTATTAAGATGTTTTAAACTTATTGAAGAGTAACATAATCACCGGACATATATCAAAAGCAAGTTGGGTGCATATTCAATTGGGATTTCTAAAGACTTTAGAAATCTTTGTATATTTATTAATATAAATTTGTTAAGATTTTTTAAGGCTTTTAAAAGTTTTTGAATATTCAATTGGGATTTTAAAAAGTCTTACAAAAATCCTGAAGTACTTAATTTATTTGAGATTAGAATTTGTTAATACTTTTTAAGATTTTTTGGAATTTTTAAAGAAAAATCCTTATACAAAATTCCACTCTTAAGAGTTTAAAATATGAACTCCTTCATGCATAACACGGGATATACACTAGTATGAATGAAATTTGTTTGAGTCAAACTGCATTTAGTTTATTTAATAGGTTGTATCCTTAGTTTGTAGCTCTATTAAGATGTTTTAAATTTATTGAAGAGTAAAATAATCACCTGACGAATATCAAAAGCAAGTTGGGTGTATATTCAATTGAGATTTCTAAATACTTTAGAAATCCTTGTATATTTATTGATATAAATTTGTTAAGATTTTTTAAGGCTTTTAAAAGTTTTTGGATATTCAATTAGGATTTTAAAAAGTCTTACAAAAATCCTGAAGTACTTAATTTATTTGAGACTAGAATTTGTCAATACTTTTTAAGATTTTTTGGAATTTTTAAAGAAAAATCCTTATACAAAATTCCACTCTTAAGAGTTTGAAATATGAACTCTTTCATGCATAACACGGGATATACACTAGTATGAATGAAATTTGTTTGAGTCAAACTGCATTTAGTTTATTTGATAGGTTGTATCCTTAGTTTGTAGCTCTATTAAGATGTTTTAAATTTATTGAAGAGTAACATAATCACCGGACAAATATCAAAAGCAAGTTGGGTGTATATTCAATTGGGATTTCTAAAGACTTTCGAAATCCTTGTATATTTATTGATATAAATTTGTTAAGATTTTTTAAGGCTTTTAAAAGTTTTTGGATATTCAATTGGGATTTTAAAAAGTCTTACAAAAATCCTGAAGTACTTAACTTATTTGAGACTAGAATTTATTAATACTTTTTAAGATTTTTTGGAATTTTAAAAGAAAAATCCTTATACAAAATTCCACTCTTAGAATTAAGATTTCACATAATTTTTCCGAAATCTGAAAATCTTAAAAAGTCTCAATGTGTCACTTGAAATCCTAATTACATACAACCCCGGTAGTGGTGGGTGCGATCCGAAAGTTAACATGTTCTGATACCTGTCCCGATTTTATGAACCAGTCCGAGAACGGTTCGAGACGAGACATCATCCTAAACAAACCAGTATCATTAAGAATCTGGACAAAACAATTTGGGACCGAGACAATAAATTTAAAAAATAAACTCAACAAAGAGTATTGATTCTATTAAAACAAACAATCAATATACTGATTTCGTTAAAAGTTTAAATCAAACATGCTGTCATACTTATTCAAGTACTACTGGGCCAAATCCAAGCAATGGGTAATGCATTGTTTAGTGTTTATATTTTACAAGTCAAAATCAGAAGCTAATTTAATTCTGTAATTAGTATTATATTAATAATATAAAATAAAATAATATTTTATAATATATATGTAATATTTCATACGAATCAATTAAATTGGGACAAACGAGGGTCATTTCGGTCCGGATCATTATGAGAAATTTCGGTTTTTTTTTTTTTAGTACATGGAGCTTCCAATTTCCAGATCCACATGGGAACCGACTAATACGGAATCGAGCGGTTTTTATGCGCACAAGACGATGAGTTTGAAAAGTATATTAAAAAATCTGAATCAACTTTATAAAGATGTAAATAATATTTTTCTAGGCATACATAATTATTAGAAACGGGGGAAGAGAGTGCGGTCCCACCAAATGAAGGCGCAACATAAGAGGATGAGCCTAGATGCACCTTAGTGAGGTTCCATCCCAAAACCAATTGGTGATAGGAGGAGTGAGAAGTAGCCCACTAGGCTTATATACTAGACTCATTTTCCTTATAGAATCAATGTGGGACACTCACAAGTGATATTCCAACACGCCCCCTCACTTGTGAGTCATTCGTAAGCCCAAGCCCACATAGCAAGCCGGATAGAGAGATAAGCCCAAGCCTAGAGCAGGCCGGGTAGAGATAGTCATTGCAGGTCCTAGGACAGACCCGCTCTGATACCATATTAGAAACGGGTGAATAGAGTGCGGTCCCACCAGATGAAGGCACACCATAAGAGGGTAAGCCTAGATGCACCTTAGTGAGGTTCCATCCCAAAACTAATTGGTGATAGGAGGAGTAGTCTACTAGACTTACATACTAGACTCATTTTCCCTATAGAATCAATGTGGGACACTCACAAGTGATATTCCAACAATAATTATAAAAGTAATGAAAAAAAATATAAGTTTTGAATAAAGGTAGTGTAAAATATAGTGACATTTTGAATAATTAGCTATTCATTTATTAGTTCTTTGTTATATGTAATAATACTTTATTTTTGAAATTTCACAATAACAATATAAACTATCCACCTCCAAATATAATTTTTTCTTTCTGGTACGAATACGGAAATGTCCAGCAACCAGTCTAAAGTTTACCGTTCGTGTGTATAAAATTGCGAGAAATGCTAAAATTCCGTTGTGTAACTATTCTGTCGAATTTAAAACCGTTAGATCATCATGTAACCGTCGGAGATACTTAATTTAATGGGTACAAAAATCTGACGGAATGGCTCCGTAAGATGATCGAAACATCTCCATAAAATTGCACCACATATTACCATTAAAAGATTATCCAGATTCAGGTTCCAAGTCATTTCTCACCCACACCCAAATTAATAATTGGAATAGGTCAAATTAGACTGCAAAGCGACTTCTCCTTCTATTCACATCATTTAAATCTTTTCTACCTTTCTTATCATTTATTTCACATGGAGTCATGGACCCGTCCGATCCAGAAGATCCGAAGAGTGAGTCCAACTCTGACAAAAAACCAGTACATAATACGTTTTCTATACCATTTTCTGTTCTGTACTTCCAACGTTTTTATTATTTATTTAACATAAATAAAAGCACATATATAATGTTATTTTCTATATCTTGAATATATATGCGTATGGTAATTATTTTTGACTTTATATATGACTTTAAATTAAATTAAGTTATTATCTAACAATTATTTCACTTTGATTTAAAAAATATATATATATATATATATATATATCATGAAATACTGGGATAATGAAATTCATAAAACAAAAAAGGTCAAATTAGCGAATTTACCAGCATTAAGCTTCTAATCATAGCATCTGTGTAATAGTGGGGCTCCGATTCCTGCAACGCCAACAGCATCTGAATCATAGTTTTTGGCTTCCCATCGCCGGCGGACCTTCTCCTCCCTTCTTCCACCAATCCCTGCATAAAACCGTCCCTCTTTGCCTGCAACTCAATCAGCTCCTTCTCGCCGCCGCCCAACCCCAGCCACCGCACCACCGGCAAGAAATCCCCCGTGCTCGACGTCGACACCCTCAGCGACTCCTTGGCGATCTCCCTGAACTGCCGCGCCTCCTCGGCCTCCTCCACGTTTTCTCCGTAGTATCTCTTTCCGGCGATCATCCTCATCACCACGTTCATCGTCAGCTCGAAGAAGGCGGTCTTCATGTCGACCGCGGATCCAGGGGCCCGAGCGCTGAGGGCCCGGATCGTGGATCTGAGCTCGTCGGCCCGGATGGCGTGAAGCGACTGGAGCTTGTGGCCGGAGAGGATCTCGATGGAGGAAATCCTGCGGAGGTTCCGCCAGTGGTCGCCGTAGGAGGACCAGACGAGAGAGGTGTAGTCGTAGCCGAGGTGCTTGCCGGCGAGCAGGCGGGGGCGGTTGGCGAAGATGACGTCGTTCCTGGAGAGGCAGTCCTCGGCGGCGGAGGCGGAGGAAACGACGAGAACGGGGCGGGAGCCGAAGCTGAGGATGGTGACGGGGCCATAGCGGCGGGAGATTAGAGCTAAGGATCGGTAAAGGGGCTTTTTGAGGAGGTAGAGGTGGCCGATGAGGGGTAGGTCGAGAATTGGGGATGGAGGGAGATTTCTGAGTTTGCGGATAAATTGGGTGGTGAAGATGTAAAGGGCGAATAGGAGCGGAATATAGACGACTAGGATTGATGATGATGATGATAATGATGATGGATGCTCCAATTCCATCTTCTTAATTATATATATGGCTTTCTTTGCAGTGATGCTGCTGGCCTGGAGGTGAGTCTCTACTCTATATATATATATTCTTCGTTCGTTCGACGCGTAGAAGAATATGGATGTGTAATTGACCAAAATAAACCAATCACTAGCCACTTTGGTTTGACGTTGACTGCAACTTTTAAGGAAATTGTATTCGAAACAATATTACTATTGTAATATAAATTAAATATATAAATTTTCATGATTTATTTATTTTTTAAAACCAGACCGACCAGCCGAGATCGCTGGAATAAAATATTTGCTAACAAACCGATGAACACCAGTCAGTCCGACTGATAGTATTGGTACAACTTTTTAAATAAATCTTGTTATATTTCAAATTATTTTCAATATAAATAATAATATATATTTAAAATATAATATAGATCTATAAATTATTTATTATTTAGTTAAGACATGAAAATTTTTTAAATTGTTCAGATTTATATTTAATATTTTTTATGTAAATTCACTACAAAAATTAATATATATATATATATATATATATGTGTGTGTGTGTGTGTGTGTATTGGAATATTACTAAATTAAATTCTGGTGCAACCAATATATCATTGAATAAATAACTTGATCGGTTTGAAAACGGTCCTCTTTTGATCTGTCAAATTTAACTATAATTTGGTCACCCGAGATCAACCTCAGTTGTATCATTTTTTTTTTTACTATTTGAAATATCGACTAAAAGTAATTCAATCAAATTAACATAACTCAATCACCCAATATTTAATGGAATTTCCTTATTTTCCTTAAAAATATTTAACTTCATGAAACAAAACGTGTTTCATGATTGGTGTATTAGATGTTTATAACAAATCACAATATATAAAGATTATAAATTATTTATCTAAAAATAACTTAATTATTTCTTAATTTATGCATTTTTATAAAAAAAAATAAGTTTATATTAATTTTAAAAATTTAAAATTAATCTATTAATTATGCAAGTGTTGCGACAACTCGATAATAAATAAAATTATTTAGGTAATGTAAAATATTATTTCAAGTAAAAACCCCACTTAATCTCAACCAGATTTTTATTTCTAGAGACAACCGATGAGATATTTTATGCAAATATTTTTGTACCATTTTATTAAATAGATTTTTAAATGACTTATATAATATACATTGTATCTATTTATATAAATTGGAAAAGAAAATATCTCAGGGTATTTAGATTTTTCATTAAACATGAATCTTTTCCAAGTGCACATCCAATAATGTAGCAGTGTTTAAGGAAAAAAATATTTGAAATGTGATTTTCAATAAATATTATAATACCAGTCAATTATTATGGTCAAAATCTATTAATGCCCAATAGTATTTAGATGTGTGGACAAACACGAATATTGTTGAAATGGATGATATGCTGAAGTCTTGTGGTGTTGATTTGAAGAAATTCGGGGTCGTGTGTATGCAGTTGGAGTTCTTTGTTTTTGCATGCAGTTTTATTTTTGTTCGGACAAAATCGTATAGCGCTTTTATTATTTTTAGTTGAGCGTTTCTTTGTTATCTTTTTTTTATTTTCTTTTACCTTTTAATATGGCACGTGTGCCTTTCTAAGAGGACACGCTTGAGCTGAGGGAAAAGTGCTTTTAATCTCTGTACTGTGATCCTCTCTTTTTGAGTTTTTTGGATTGAATGGAAATGGCGGAGCTAAGAAATTGTTGCTAGTTTTTTGTTTTGATTTCATACTTCATTTTCAGATTTTACATTTCTACATGGTATCTAGAGCAGGCTAATCCGATCATTATCAATGGCGAACAACAGAGATGAGCAAGGAAGAGAAATCGTACGCAGCGCGTACTCACGAGACATTGATCCACTGTCACTTCATGGATCTGATAATCCTGGGCTAATATTGGTAACGAATCAGCTCACTGGCACTAACTACCTGCATTGGAGCCGAGCGATGAAGCTAGCTCTCGCCGCAAAGTCTAAGCTAGGTTTTATTGATGGAACAGTCGAAGTTCCAGAACAGAATATGGAGGATTACATTCAGTACCTAAAGGTAGAATCTATGGTTATTTCATGGCTGTTAAATTCCATTTCGAAAGATATTGTAGAGGCCTTCATGTATGTCAAATCTGCAAAACAATTATGGGATGAGCTAGCTGAGAGATATGGTGATAGCAACGGCCCTCTCAAGTATCAATTGCAAAAGGAAATAGGTAATTTCTCTCAAGGAACACTCACAGTCACTGCATACTACACTAAGCTGAAATGTCTATGGGATGAATACACTTGCCTTATTTCCTTGCCTGAGTGTGTCTGCGGGTCAGGCAAAGCTTTCTCAGAAAATGACATGGAGATTAAGCTCATGCAGTTTTTGATGGGATTAAATGATGTATTTGAGCCAGTGAAAAATCAGATTCTCTTGATGGATCCACTACCTACTATCAATAAAGCATATTCAATGATATTGAAAGTGGAAAAACAAAAGAGCTTGGTCACAGGTTTGATGAATCCTCTAGAGACATCAGCCATGCTGGCTAGAAGAAACTTTGGCAGAGGATCAAGTTTTGGCCGAGGAAATGGTGGTAGAAATCAGGGAGGACAGGTTTACAACAATGGTGGAAGAGGTAGAGGTTCACCTAGACTGACCAAAGAGGAGAGAGCAAAATTATACTGCACTCATTGTGGATATAATGGACATGATGTTCAAGGGTGTTTTAAGCTCAACGGGTATCCTGACTGGTATAAGGAACTCAGGCAACAAAGACAAGGACAGAATATTAACATGGTGGAAGGAGATGATAGTGCAAAATCAGATTCAGAGGGAAAGTCACAACACAGTGACACTCTACCAGACATCAGTGCACTAGCTAGGGAGGTAGCTAAATATATATCTATGCAGCAAGAGTCTGAAACACATACATTTTCTCATCTGGTAGAGTCCTTAAATGGGACAGAAGGGTATGTCTCTTCTTTATTTGGTAGACTGAGCAAAGCATGTTGGGTTGTGGATACTGGGGCCAGTAAACACATTTGCTCTAATCTGAATCTTGTAAGTAAAAATACAGAAATCTCTACACCTGTGATTGTCAATCTACCTGATGGTTCAAAATTTGAGGTGACAAGAATTGGTGAAGTGCAGCTGAATGATGTGGTGATACTGAAAAATGTGTTGTTGATACCACAATTTAAATACAATCTACTTTCAGTGGGACAACTTATAGAGGATAATGGGCTAAGTTTCATCTTCACAAGTAAGGGATGTAAGTTGTTGAATGCTGCCAGCAACTCACTGATAGTAGAAGGAGAAGTTATGGCAGGGTTATATATCATTGAAGGAAAAGAGTGTTTTGCCAATGCAGTGGATGGGACAGACTCCATGGGGAAAGAAGTAGATCTGTGGCACAAAAGGCTAGGCCATAGCTCATTAAATGCTCTCAGACATCTCAGTTTTATTAAAGGAAGCCATCTGGAACAAAAGTTGAGCACTTGTGGGATATGCCACAAATCAAAACAGTGTAGACAATCTTTCCCTCTAAGCCACATACAAAGCAAAAATAGGTTTGATCTGGTTCATATTGATGTGTGGGGGCCATATTTGGAGAGATCAGTGACAAACACAACTTATATGTTGACAATAGTGGATGATTTCACTAGGGCTACCTGGATATTTCTTATGAAATACAAGTCGCAGACAGGAGAACATATTAAGACCTTCTTGCAAATGATGGAAGTTCAATTTGGAGAAAAGGTTAAAAGGGTTAGAACAGATAATGGCACTGAATTCATGAATAAAGAAGTAGCACAGTTGTTCAAGGAGAAAGGGATATTGCATCAAAGGTCTTGTCCATACACTCCACAGCAAAATGGAGTGGTTGAGAGGAAGCATAGGGTGATATCGGAGGTAGCAAGAGCCATTTCTTTCCAGTCCAATTTGCATAAGGAGCTTTGGCCTTATAGTCTACTTGTTGCAGTCTAAATAATTAACACTGTGCCTAGTGAAAAACTGGGATGGAAGAGTCCCTATGAAATGCTGCATGGAGTTTTGCCTACTTATGATAGGTTCAGAGTGTTTGGTTGTCTGTCTTATGCCAAAAGAAACACTCCACACAAGAAGAAATTTGATGAAAGAGCAGTAGCTTGTGTTTTTCTAGGCTATGTGTCAGGAGTAAAGGGATACAGATTATATGACTTGATCACCAAGGAGATTTTTGTTTCAAGAGATGTGCATTTTTATGAAGATCAGTTTCCTTTCTTTAATGGCTCAGTCAGCCTTGAGCCAATGGAGTCTGATGTGCCCCTACCTGCAATGACTACTAATCAAGAGGAAATGATTGAGATTGTTGCACAAAGTGACAAACCTGACCCACAAGGTGCAGAAACAAATCCCACACAGTTAAATGCTGAAGGAAAAAGGGTCAGGAAGCAACCTGCTTGGATGAAAGACTATGTTATGGATGGTTTTTCTTCAGGTGATGATGAGGTAGAAGAAATCACTTCCTTTTTCACAGAGGTTGGAAGATCCATGACAGAACCAGTGCAGTATGAACAAGCTGTGCAGGATGACAGATGGATTGAGGCTATGAATAAAGAGCTGCAAGCTCTTGAAATCAATAACACATGGGAACTGACTAAGCTACCTAAAGGAAAGAAAACAATTGGTTCAAGATGGATTTACAAGATTAAAAGAAATCCTGATGGCACTGTGGATAAGTTCAAGGCAAGATTGGTTGCCAAAGGGTATCTTCAAAAGGAAGGCATTGATTTCTTTGATAGTTTTTCTCCAGTGGCAAAATTAGTTTCAGTAAGGTTTCTTATAGCCTTGGCTGTACAACAAAAGTGGGAACTGCACCACATTGATATAAATAATGCCTTCCTTCATGGGTTCTTAGAGGAAGAAGTGTATATGGTGCCACCAAAGGGGTATGACAAGGCTGCAAAGGATGAAGTTTGCTTGCTTAAACGAAGTTTGTATGGGCTAAAACAAGCATCAAGGC